ATTAAAAGCGTTTTCATATATTGCGATTAGTTAGACATCTTTGAATCTAGGGAATCGACACAGATTGAAGAGTTCTTGATATTCTGTCATAATTCGCCATAGAAATCGTAGAAATATCAAATTTGTGGAGAAATAGATTCTAGATATGAAAGTATGTGTATTAAAAATGATAGCGAATATTTTAAATCGGTTTGAACATTAGTAATTTTAATTTGCATTAAAATTCAAACGTACTGCATCAATGAATAAATACAACATTATAATAATAATTATTACAATAATAATAAATCGTTTATGAAAGTACCTTATTATAAATTTTAAACTGCACAATTATGTTAGGACTTTTTATTGCAAATATCAAGATTACAATTTTAGAAAATAAAGTAAGATCGATCTTTATCTTTAAAAGTATCTACTGTTTGAAAATTTAAAGATTGACTTTAATTATTTATTCAGAGTTAATCATTCTTCTAAATAAAGCTTGAAAATTAAGAAAATAAATTTATTTATCAAATTGTTAGAAAAGTACACGTAGAATAATATTAGTCGAAATTTAACAATTTTTATTTTAACAAGTGAGAATTCGTGAGTTAGCAAAGAACGAGCCTGAAAAGTTACACTAAATAGAGTACAAAAGTAAACTGTATTGTAATAGAGAATTTTTCAAACAACGATCGTATACCATCACACTATCGAATTCAGTGATTACCCTTGCTCGAGTTCAATTACAAGTGCGAAATTTAACTTCCAAATCACACTTTCCACGTTTGCTAATTATGCAATGATGAGCAGCTTCTTAACACCACTTTGCGATTTAATAAATAAACATGATTGTAAACTCATAAAATTCTTTAATGTATTTGATTCATAGGTACGTATGGTGTAACTGTATAACATGATGCTAATGTAATTTTATTTTGAATTAATAATTTGCAAATATTTTTAATAATTTGTTGTATCGTACCATTAGACTGATAGGCAGCTATTTAGTGCACACAAAGTTAACATTCTAAGTTCAAACTAAATTTCATTTTTAATGAAACGAAATAAGCAGTTGTTAGTTCCTAATGGTCCATGATCACTAATGGGAACATTTATTCACCTTAAATGGGTATCGAACAAGTATCGATTCTGTTTGATATCTTCAATAATTAATTGTCGATAGGGATATTCGTTGTACTGATTACTATTATTTGTTATAGTCACAAGTTCAAACTAAATTATTTAAGTAATTATTACCAATATAATTCAGGAAAAGAAGACATAACACATTACTCTCCCGATGAATTTTATTACAGTGACGTGAAATTGATTCAAATAAATGTCGACAATGATCGATTGTAATCTTGTTTCATTCAGTTTCAATGATAATATGAAATTCATTAAAATTTTCCAATTTTTCAAATTCAGTGTACTTTTTTAAATTAATTCACGTCTCGATCAGACTGAAGTCTAGAGACCTATGATAAAATTTTTACGTGCTGCAAAAACTGTTTTATTACAAGCTAAATCCTTGGGATCATTGTTAATTTAGGCAATCAAATTAATATTTAATACAATCGAATTAACTTAATATTTAAGCGTTTGCATAGAATTGCATTTTAATATGTCCATGTACTCTGGTGAAATGTAACACCTTGCATTATCTTTGCTCTTTAAACGTTTAACAACTTTCCTACCTTCTATACGTCATTTTTAATGAAACGAAATAAGCAGTTGTTAGTTCCTAATGGTCCATGATCACTAATGGGAACATTTATTCACCTTAAATGGGTATTGAACAAGTATCGATTCTGTTTGATATCTTCAATAATTAATTGTCGATAGGGATATTCGTTGTACTGATCACTATTCTTTATTATAGTCACAAGTTCAAACTAAATTACTTAAGTAATTATTACCAATATAATTCAGGAAAAGAAGACATAACACATTACTCTCCCGATGAATTTTATTACAGTGACGTGAAATTGATTCAAATAAATGTCGACAATGATCGATTGTAATCTTGTTTCATTCAGTTTCAATGATAATATGAAATTCATTAAAATTTTCCAATTTTTCAAATTCAGTGTACTTTTTTAAATTAATTCACGTCTCGATCAGACTGAAGTCTAGAGACCTATGATAAAATTTTTACGTGCTGCAAAAACTGTTTTATTACAAGCTAAATCCTTGGGATCATTGTTAATTTAGGCAATCAAATTAATATTTAATACAATCGAATTAACTTAATATTTAAGCGTTTGCATAGAATTGCATTTTAATATGTCCATGTACTCTGGTGAAATGTAACACCTTGCATTATCTTTGCTCTTTAAACGTTTAACAACTTTCCTACCTTCTATACGCAGATTTAGGTCAGCTGTCCATCATTCAAATACATGGTACAATAAACTATTAAAATTATTTGAAAGTTATTAGTTCAAGATAGATTTGTGTCATTAATATTTTGTACAACATTTATTATGTATTAGTTTTAACAATATAATTTTTATGTATGTAAATCGTGTTTATTAACTGAATTCTGAAGCGGTTTCAAGCAGCTGTCGCCATTGTACGTCTTCAAGTTCATTCGAATCTCTCGTGAAATATGGAAACTTTCAAATTTAGAGAATATAGAACGTTCAGCCATTTTGTAAGTAATTTCTCCATGCCCTCCTCATAAAAATATTCAAGATTTTAACATAAAATTTTGTAATCATCAAAGACATTATATAAATAATAACACAAAGATTACTTATTGTAAAAAAATAACACCCAAGTGGTGATATGAATTAATGAATGTCAAATTTCAAACGATTTCGACGTCTCTAGCTTATGATTACTAAAATTAAACTTGTACTGGATTTGTTGTGTGTAAGAATACCTACTGTTGAATTGTAAATCTACAGATTTAAAGACTTGTGTAAAGAGTGTAGGTATCTGTTTAAAAATTGTACGTGGAAATTAAGGGACTCTTTAAGATGAGAGAATTATTTTTTACGCGTATTCGATGCCTTGCTAATGTGTCGTGTTTTTGCGTAAACAGGCTTTCGATTCTTCGCACTTGTGTCTGGAAATTTTGGAAAGTTTTAGAGAGCGAATATAAATGGAAAGAGTGATAATTAGAAACGAAATTTATATGAACGATGAAATGTATATTTAAATAAGATTATAAAAGTGTTATAAAAGTATATTTGAATAAGATAAATTGTTAAATTATCTTATACAAGGACATTATTGAGATTGAAGGGAAATTTTATGAGATTTATTTATTTTGAGATAATTTATGCGAGGGAAATATGTTAATAGAATAATATCAAAAATTTGTTGATTTTCGAATTTTATGAGATCGAATTTCTATGTTTGTAAATTCTTAAATTCTTGAACTCTTAAATTCATAAATTCATAAATTCATGAATTCCTAATTTTTTAAATTCCTTAACTCTTAAATTTTCTAAGTTTTCAATTTCTAAATACTGAAATTCGTGAATTCCTATATTCGAAATATGTTAATAGAATAATATCAAAAATTTGTTGATTTTCGAATTTTATGAGATCGAATTTCTATGTTTGTAAATTCTTAAATTCTTGAACTCTTAAATTCATAAATTCATAAATTCATGAATTCCTAATTTTTTAAATTCCTTAACTCTTAAATTTTCTAAGTTTTCAATTTCTAAATACTGAAATTCGTGAATTCCTATATTCCTAAATTTCTAAATTTCTAAATTTCTAAATTTCTAAATTACTAAATTACTAAATTTCTAAATTTTTCAATTTTTCAATCGTTGAATTTTTCAATTTTTTAATTTCTCAGTTTCTCAATTTCTAAATTTGTAAATTTGTAAATTTCCAAATTCCTAAATTCTGAAATTCCTGAATTTCTAAATTTCTGAAAGTCCTCAAATTCTCCAATTTCAAACTTTCAAAATTCCAAAATTCCAAATTTTGAAATTATCAAATTTTCGAGGTTTCAAATTTTGAAAGCGTTCTCCCAAATTCTCAAATATTCAAGTCCCTAAACACCAAAAATTTCAAATTTTGAAAACCTCAAAGTTCTACCTTCAAATCCTTCAAATTTCCCAAAGGCAAAGGAAATTTTGAAAATTCCAAATTCTTGTCAATATTTAGATCTATAGCATGTGACTTAAAAATTAATTCTCGATTTTGTTTACATACAAAACATTTAAAAGAAACATATATTTGAATGAATATTTAGAGAATCGTGCGAAGGGTCGATACAGCTATCGTTACAGAGCCCTTTTCTCCCTCTTTGCGCGGGTATTGTATCGTTCTGCGAATAAGAATGTTCCCCTGTGCCTAAATATCGCAGACATGAAGTAGAAAAGTTTGAAACCGAAACAGCGTGAAAGTGGAACAGAAGAGGAGACGAGAGTAAACACTATAAATGATAAAATGTCGCGAAGTGTTTACCCTTTTCTCGAGGAAGAGGTTATGATTGTCGAGAGAAATCGTGATCTGCCAATTAGTTAGGTAACTCTGACTACGAGGAGAAAGAGAGAAAGAAGAGTATCTAAGAATTATTTTTATATTATTTGCCCAGGTATATAAGTGTTGTAAACGTGGCTCGTGTTCAACTTGAATTCAACTTGCAAAAAATTATAGTTTCGTTCTCGTGGAAAGATTTATTCTTGAGAATTTTTGAATCGCGACTCTCATTTTTAAAAGGATACAATAATCGTCTTTAAATTTATTTTTGAGGAACAATTTTTAATATTCTATCGAATCATATAATATTTTATTTGCAGTAAAAGTTAGTTTTAGTGGATGATAATTTTCTTTTGTTCATTTGTATATTTCATATGTGTACATATGTAATGCAACGTGAAATACTTTATAGTTGTGTTTATATACAGTTTTTGAATATGGTGCCATTGAAAAGAGTAAAACTTAAAAATGATTAATTGCTAGTACTCATGTTTAATTTTACTTATTATGTTCTTAATACATAAAATTGTTTAAAGTGAAAGTTTTTATGAAATTTTTTTGGGGGTCAGTACTATAACATCAACTATTTTTTTTTTTAATTTATTGTTCAACGTGAATTTAATATTTTTAGTTAGACAACTATATTTTTGAATAGATGTACTTTTGATGCATATACTTTCATTTTCATTTAATTTGCATGAGAACTGTGACGCATCTTGTGCGTCAATTTTTATTATTTCATTTAGTCAATTTCATTTTTATTATTTATAAACGATGACACACCATGTGCGTCTTATACTATTAAAATTAGTGACGCACTATGTGTGTCTTATGAGATAATTATTTTTGTTCGGTTTGAATCATGTACTTTGAGTTGTATAATTCTATATTCAACATTAGTAATTCTACTTTTCTTACTACTTTTGGCTGCAACGACGCACCGTATGCGTCTTGCATTATTTGTTCAAGGAGTGACGCACAAAGTGTGTTCTATTGAAATTATTATCAGATGAAATTAAATTTGATAACTTAAATTTACTATTTTGAATTGGATAATAGTACTTTCATTTTTACTAATTATTTATAAACGATGACACACCACGCGCGTCTTATGTTGTTCAAAGAAATTATTGACGCACCATGTGTATAACTTGTAGACACAACCATTTGCAACTTTAATTAAATATTTTGAGTTGTATGATTCTGTTTCCAATGTTAATAATCCCATTTTTTAAATGAATATTTTCGAGCATAAACGACGCACCTAGTGCGTCCTACATTATGATTTATTCAAAATACCCAGAGATGTGACAAGTGTGTTTGGAACTCATTATTTACCTTGTACTAAATATTTCTGGTCGAATAATTCTACTGTTAATGCTAATGTTTCTATTTATATCAATTTAAGACGTTCCTAATCGTCGACGCACCTGTTGTGTCCTACATTAATTTCTTTAACACTAGAAAGACTGAAACTTTGATTAATTTTGACTGCTTTGGGGCAATATAGGTATAACACATATATATATACCGGAAATGAAGGAGGGAGGAGGTAACATATATATACCGGAAATGAAGG